TTTGACTGAGGATGTCTTTTGAATAAAGACGAAACGTCTCAAACAGAAAATAGTCGATTTTCATGATGAAAAAGGTTGTGTATCTCTTATTATCTATATTGAAATTCTTCACCTTACAAAATGACTCTTTTATTTCTTGTTCAATCCTTTCCTTCAGTTCGGCAATATCGTTGACCTTCGTTTTGTATACTTTTGGTTTGATGTATCCCCATAGAAAAAAATCAAGTGGCGTCAAGTCTGGAGAGCGTGGTGCCCAAGATATTGGACCACCTCTGCTAATCCACCTTCCATTGAATTTTTCATTTAACCATGCACGAACTTCTTTGGAAAAATGCGGCGGCGCGCCATCTTGCGGAAAAATCATCTTATTACGAAGTCTTTTTCTTTGCATAATTGGAAAAAAATAATTTTTTAACATCTGAAGATAGTTTTGTCGATTGACTGTTTCATCTTCAAAAAAGTATGGGCCAATGATTTGTTTGTTAGTCATCGCACACCAAACGTTCACTTTGGAAGACTTCATCGCAGATTCGATGGTGGTGAAGGGATTAGTTGGTGCCCAAATTCGACAATTATGCTTGTTCATGACCCCGGAAACGTAAAAAGTTGATTCGTCAGAAAAAAAATGTTTCCGTCATTTCTTTGATCTTCAAGAATCGGTATCAGATGTTCCGACATTTCCACACGTATATCCATATCTTCATCATATAACTGTTGAACGCTATGCATCATGTATGGTTTATATCCGATAATATCTCGCATTATCTGGTGTGTTTGATATTTGGAAATGTTTGCTTCTCGTGCCACAGTTCGAACACTGTTCATATTCATCATCCAAAATTTGTTGAATCTCTTGAACTTTATCTTCTGTGATTGTTGAGGGTCTTCCTGTATGAGCACGGTCTCCAACCGAGCCAGTTTCGAGAAATTTCTGGTATATTGATGTTACTGTATGCCTTTCTGGAATATTTGTCGTTCCTCGGCGTCGTAGTTCACGAATAACCATAACAGGAGACTCATATTTCGCCATTAGGATAACTATTTGAATTTTAGTTTCTAAAGAATGTGACATGTTATTGATCTGGAACAAAGATAAAACTTTGAACATTTCTCTTTCATTTAAAAAAAAAATTGTTCGATTTAGTTGAAAAATGACCGAGATATTAAATTTTCTTTTTGGTAGATGAATTTCCGGACACCCGGTAGACAAGAGGGAACATCATCTCGCCGTTCAGTGGACCACACTGGCAACAAGGCACTATCGCCAACCCAATTTCGTTTATGTTACTATGAGTCAGCCACTTAATATTTTTTCATAAGCGTTTACGAGGTATTCTAACTTTATAGCAACATTTACAGTTGTTAGAACCCTTTATTTGAAACTCATGTATTGGTCCTATCATACTTAAATGATATCGAAAATATATTTTTTAAATTCAGTTTTTGACGTAAAATAAAAAAAAATATTTTCGAAGTTACAAACTCAAGGTAAAGTGGAAATTTTTGATAATTTTTAACAATTAGGCCGTTTTTTAAGGGTTAGAAAATTTCGAGTTTTGTGGAATTCTGCACCCTAAATACTTTTTTTGAAAGTCTAAAACACATATATTGTTACTCAGATCAACGAGCTCTATCATGTATAAAATCGAAAAAATAAATTTTGCACGACTTTTGAATTTCCGAAACCTTACATACCTGTGTTTATAAATACGTTATATATTTTTGTGTTGTACTACTATTTATTGTTTTCTTTTTTGTTGTAATACTATTGCTTGAATAATAAAGTTCCGGTTTATGTATGTTACAATTGTATATTCAGTTTATTGTCGGAGCAAAAACAATCAATCAAATTTTACATGCCAGACACTATCACGAACAGGTCTTTCGTGAAATTTTACAGTGACGCAATGTCGAGACATGCGCAACTTTTTTCAATAAAAAATAAAAACATCTGTTCATTACTTAGCGCTCTATGATTGCATTTCTATAATTAATGCTGTTATGATAAACATTTGTGACATGACTGCACAAGTTCTATCGATTTTGCAAAAAAGCTGAAAAAATCGTCCTCTGAAGAAGGGGGAGGGCGAGTGCTGTTGTGAGGCAACTTTCAATCACAATAAAGCTATAAACAGTATTGAAAGCACCATTTTCTGAAAGTACGCAGTCGACAGCACACAAATCCGTCAGAGATAGAACAACGAAAAAATTGTCAAAATCGACCTCTGAAGGAAGCAGGGGACAACGACCTTAAGAATACCTACAGAAAAATAGAAGTTCTTATTCAGCGTCAATGTAGTCCACCGTACGTGCGCAAATCAATGCTTAAAGATGTATTTTTGGTTTATTACGAACATCCATTCCTTGAGTAAACATTTTGGTACAGAACGAACGTGGTAACAGTTAAAAAACAAGTATTATTAGTCAAAAATGAAAGAGACGATTGCCAGTTATTTGAAATCATGTGAATAACGTTCGAAATACAACATTCAACGGCGAAAGTCACCCGCGCTTCTACAAGTGAGCGATGCCCCGGACGATGTATTTCACGTGTTAGGAATGGATTGGTGGGGACCTGCATCTACAACTTCTGCCGGGGACAAGTATGTTCCCGTGATTATCGATCGGTTATTTGGATACGTCATCGCAAAAGTATCTTCAACAAATACTGCTCCAAATACTGTCAGAAAATATCAACTATTAAATATCAGTATGACTGTAAAATCAATATTTCTCAGTAACCATCCTATATTAAGCCTAGCGCAATACATCATTCGACGCGCCATGAAAAGCTCTACAATATGTGTTAATAAGAAGCTTAACGAAGTGGGGCAGCATGTTTTATAAATTTAATACTAGACTTTTCCATCGGTCGTGGCTATACCACGGGAACTCTTTGTCACCTTTTTCTATGAACCTAAAGATGATCCCTAATCATTCATATACCATTCGATGGGTTTTAGAAATTTCTACAAGATGTGTTAATTGGAAACTAAACAAAGCTTACCAGCGGCTTTTGTGTATTAAATCCTTCGTCACTTAAAACTACAGTGGGTTGAAAAATTATTCGTCCACCTTTATTTTTCATTTTTCTCGTCAACCATAATAGCTAAAACAAATATGAGAAAAGATTTGAACAACTGAAAGAATTTTTTGATCTAATGTGGTGTATAGAAAGGTTCTATAAAAGCTTCTGAAACCAGGATCTCTCGAAAACCCAAATTTTAGAAAACCAAGTCCCCGAGTTCAATCGCGAAATTCTTTGCAAGTAACTCCGTCGTATAGAGCAAACATTTCTGAACAAAATGAGACGTCTCCGAGGTCTGTGTCGCATTTTTTCGTGAAACAGCATTCGATTTACGGAAGGTCCTAAGGGCGTATCTTTGCGGTATGGGAGAATATCATAATCGAATATCATAATTGGATGTGATTCTGATGAGGTTTGCAGCGATTGGAGCGGGTATTGTTAGTGAGCCGATTTCCGTTCTTATGCGGACGGACTTCATCTTTACTGATTTTTGTCCATTTTCAAAGGATCAGTATTTTTTAATTTGTTACCGAGAAATGATTTTCCAAAAGTCAAAACTGAGTTTTTCTAGGTAACTTGATGAGCTCTACTTCTATACAGCCAAAATTGAAAAGAATTGTCCTATATTTTTGCATTATTCGCCACCCAAATCAGAATTTACAGTTTTACTTACTTTCTAGTCTTCCTCAAACTGCAATGAAATAGAACATCATTTGAAAAGTTGGAAGGATGGTCATGTTTACTGCGTCCTATGCGCGGTCTCTAGTAGAGCAATGTACTTTTTCGTTTCTTTTTTTATCGAAGCAACGTGTGTTATTAGCTGCAAAGGATAATTTCTCTCATTTTCTTTCTTTCACATGCGCTATTTGTGTTCTTTCTAGAACTCAAAATTCGACAGTGGTGCGCATTTCAAGTAAAAATTTTCGACACTGTCGAATTTTGTGTGAAAGATTTCAAACGACTGGAAATTCGAGAGATTTTTTGCTTCACTTCTCTACTAGAGAAGCAAAAGCGTAAAAACGTAGAAGCGTAGGCAATCCCTACGTTTTTACGTCACCATTTCACTATGTCTCTAGGAAAAGAACCATCATTAGTCTTCGGGCCTTAGTGGCTGGACATTGAACGCGGTCTGGTGATTCACTCTCATGCCCACCCCCGACGCTTTTACGTCTTTTTGAAATTTTTCAATGAAATTCGACAGACTTTCGACGCTGTCGAATTTTTAGTCTGTTGAAAATTTTCACTCGAAATTCGATAACACGCTGTCGAAAAGTGTTTCTATCGAACTGTGAAACTATCATTCAGAATCGTGGAATATTTTCCGCAGTCAAAAAAAATAAAGGAGCACTTCATTCAAACAAAACTATACCTATAGACTAACGAGGAAAGGTCCCTAAGTGTGCAGTCGCTTTTTGCTTAGAATCTAGTGGACAATAGGTAATTGACTGCGCTAAATCCGAATCTGACATCAATTTGTGCTGCTAGGCCTCTAGAGGCCTGATTTCTAGAAACCAGGCTTTCAGAAACTCTAAAACATAACCAAAAGGTTCTTAATGAGGCATGATTGTAGATCGCAAATTTCTGATTAAAATGAGATATCTCCCGGCTCTACACAGCCTTTCTTTGCAAAGTTATAGAATTTACACGAAAAGCCCCAAATGTTCATTGTCAGCTTAAACCTACAGAAATAAGAACAAATTAATTTAGGACTTTTCGTGTAAATTCTATAACTTTGCAAAGAAAGACTGTGTAGAGCTGGGAGATATCTCGTTTTAATCAGAAATTTATGATCTACAATCATGCCTCATTAAGGAGTCTTTTGGTTATTTTTTAGAGTTTCTGAATACCTGGTTTAAAAATGTTTCACGCACTCCTGTTGTCTAATCAAATAATTTTTTAGAAAAGTCGAATGATCAGAATTTAGACTCATAATACTCATAGTCTTATCTTAATGAGCTTTTTAGATACGCAATTGTTCGTCATGCGAACGAAAGTGACGCTCAACAAAGTTTCCAAAGATCGATTGATTTCCCAACATTCGGCAGCAATGTGATTATGAAGTATGCATTTAAAAAAGATCAAGATAGAAAAGGTTTTGTATATTAAATCAATTTACAGTCACATATATACTAACAGAAAAATATATTAGAGTTCTAGAGATTTCAAAAGCTTAATCTTAACTCATTTATCAACTCTAATTCTGATCAGTAGGCTTTCGCATTTCGGAAGCAAAGGAATCGTTCCTCTTGTCATGTACGGCGCTAAATATCCATTCAATAAAAAGCGATTGTGTATGTTTTTCTAGTTAATTGCAGATCTAATGGAGGTCTGCAGATTTTGTCAGTTAAGAGAGAAAAGAATTTGTTGAAAGATTTCTTGAAACAATCAGGGTTCTTTTCACCATATGTTTGTAGATTTATTATCGACCAGATATAGTCTATCTAGCCTTCGTACAGGCAATTTCACTGAACATTATTCCGGAGCTCTTGAAAAGTCCAGTACCACGCTTGAACCATGGAAAATGAAGATGGCGCATGGCTCCCATTGTGAAGAGAGCATTACCTATGGAAAATAACCAAAATATTATTTCTGCTATAAAGTTTTAAATCTTAAACAGATTTCTCCCAAAACACTTCCGAAATTCCTCTTCACCCTTCACGTTCTCCTATTAATCGGCGATATCTGCAAACCTCCATTTACTCTCTAATTATCCAGAAAAATATCTGCAATTACAATATTTTAGAATCTGATCATAATTTTGCATTTTCATTTAACAGTCCATTTAAATAGTCGAAAAGATTTACATGTTGGAAACATACCGTATGGTGCGACCGAAATACAGATTAAGAATTTGTTTCCATGTAATTGCACCGTTGAATACTGGGAATCAAGAATAGTCAGAAAATATCAACTATCAGCTGCTGCGGATTGAGCACTTTTACACCAATCGGTGCATCCAAAACCAGATACACTTTTATTATAATATTTTATTATAACAGCAGGCTACGTCAGCAGGAAATACTGGTAGAAAGGGCCTAAAACCTAGTGTTTCAGGCCAAAACTCGAGTTTTTACTCGATGACGCCTGTCCGAAATAGTATCGGTCGACAGAGAATTCAATTCTGCATCTAACATAATCAGTTAGAAATTCAAGACAAGTCTAAGAGCGAATATCGGCAACAAATACTCGAATCCGCTGCTAAGTTTCCTTACATGTAATAAAAGTGTTTTAAAAATCAAGTTTAACGTTATAGACTTTGTTTATTAGTTTAATGAAGAGAACACTTCTGAAACAATAAAGAGGGAGTAAGAAAAGAAATAAGGATAAAGGGGCTCAACACTTACATTATCATAAGAACAAAATGGGTTATAAACTCTTGTCTTATTATGCCTTTTCTAGCTGTGAAGAGCCTAAGCAACAATGGCAATAGTTAATATCAGCGTCTCGATTAGGGATTGGAGGCATCTTTATCTTGGGTTTGTATGGACTCTTACTGAACAAGCAGAAGTCAAATACGCATACAATTTATGATGTTGACGCGTCTGAGAAATTTCGAAAGGGTTGTAAAAGAGTAATAGGATGATAATCAGACGTATTATGACAATCGCCAGACTTAAAAATAGTCATAATACAACCTAACTTTCAAGCTTTATGAAAATGTTTATGTATTAATGATTCATTGAATACACAGGTTATAAGTGAAGTAACAAAAATGCTAGTATGTACTCTAGTAGTAGTAGAGTAATGTATGCTAGTATTCCTTTACTCGCGAGTAATATAGTCAGAAGTATTTGACACGGTCTAAGTTATTTCCAATGTCGGCGCGACCTTACCTTTGAAACGTTGTTTGCTTTCACCTAATAATGATTGTAATGGAATTTGATTCAAATT